GCGTATGCCTATGATTGCCTTTCATTTTGTATCTATATACATTTTGCGTGGTCATATCTATATACATTTATAATGTGAAAATTTGATTTTCGTGCTTTGATTTATCATGTTTTGTTTATAACAAGATTAAATAAATAAAAAATAATAATTTTATTCATTGTTTTCTCTATCAGCTCTCGAAATATCAGCTGGTAACAGAAGTTCGGGTGGTTTTCTGCCTCCACATTTTGCTCAGGGCCATCTAAATCCTCATCATCCACCTCCACCAGCGCAAGTGATGAGAGGATATAATAATAATTTTAACCTCCCATCACAAGTATCTGTAACTCCTACTCACCGTATTTCAACATTTAATGCTTCTTCGAATACAAGCACCACTCGTTTTCAGAATGTTCCAGATGTTAGGCCTGCATTCGTAACTCCATTTCCACCAATGGGCTTCCACAACATGTATCAGCCTCAGCAAAGGGAACTCATGCTCGACTCAAACGTTAGGCCCCACACTTTTCCCCAGTTGAGGGTTTTGCCAGAAGATGTAACAATTTTCTTTTCCATCCCCCCGCCAAAAAGAAACGAAAAATAAAAAATAAAAATAGAATTCTTTTGCAAAATCCATGTTATGGTGGTTATAATAGGTATAGAGATAATTGTGCTTTACCCTGTGAACTATGTTAATTTTTTGAGTTGCCATACTCAAAAATAGAATATTTTTGAGATAATTATGCTTTTGCAAAACAGTCCCTAATAGCTATTGTAATTGTTATAAAAAGTTTCTCATGTTTATTTCATAGGAAGTTGCCATATTAGAGATGCCTGGTTACCATGAAGCAGGAGACTCGATCGATCACCATAGAGATATGCGTTTGGACATAGATCACATGTCCTATGAGGTAATAATGACACAGTTTCATGAGTGGTTGTGTTGTAATTTAGTGAATTGTTCAGTTGCATAGATTTTTTTTTTTTCCGAGTTGACAAATTATGCAAATAAACAGGAGCTGCTTGCGCTGGGGGAACAGATTGGGAGTGTCGGCACTGGATTGCCCAATGAATTTGTTCGAAAAAATCTCAAGACAAGAAGTTTTATTACCTCGTCAGCAGCTTGCCCAAACTTACGAGATGAGACTGACCCAGATGAGCAAATAAACTTCTGTGTCATATGCCAGGTATTTTTGTCTAAAGTTGTTCACTTTTATATTGTATCAAAGTTTTCTGACATTTTCTTGTTCTTTGTATATTGCCTTTCATTATCTATACTTTGTGTCTCTATTCGTGAGTTTTGTGGTACAAAATTAAGTTTTTTGTTCTTTCATTGCCTATATTTTGTTTAATTTCTTGAGCTTCGTATAAAATTAAGCTTTTATCAAAATTACTTACGGCAAGAGATTCATGCAGACCGAGTATGAGCCTGGAGAAAAAATCGGGACAGTTGAATGTGGACATGAATACCACAAAGACTGCATAAACAAATGGCTGCTCATCAAGAATACTTGTCCAATCTGCAAGTCCACGGCACTTGGCCGAAAGTCCAAGGCTTCGTAGATCATGGGAATTATTATTATTATCTATGGGTGACCATCTTAAACAAAAAAGAAAAACTTAGATATTTGGTCCTCCTATCCAATTAGTTTATAATCCACAAGAGAAAAAATGCTTTTTCTTGGGTGTATTATATTTATGTGTATATATTTGGCAGAGATATGACTGGCACCTGTTATGTTTTTTTTGTTGGGCTCTCTGTCTGGTCTGTCTCTGGAACTGTACAGACTTAGTTCCAATTTGTTTTTGTTATGAATGAACTTTTGTAGATTGAAACTGTACAGACTTATCCATTTTGGGGCTGTCTTTGTTAAAGAATTGAGGTATGAGCAGCTTCTAGTTTGTTGCACTTCATGAGCTTGCTTTTGCAGGATATTTAGTTGTATTCATTTGGTTTCTAAAACCTTTTTAAGGCTTCATTTACTAGAGAAGATAGGATTAGACAAATTAATCCAACCAATTTGCCACATCAGATTTTGTACCATATTTACTAAACATGCTAGTATCTTAGCCAAACCCAATCCTTGTTTACCATACATGATAAAAATGTTGTGTTTTTAAAAGCTTAATTGAAGGCAAACCCAAGCTTCCTATTTTACCCTTAAATCGAGCCGTGAGCATCAAAATTATAATTTTACAGGTGAAAATGAGAACATCTCACAAATTTCATGAACCCTAAAATTTGAGGAAAATAGAATCGACGATTTGTCGACCCAAATGCGGCTTGCTTTGACGACCCTGCAGAAGCCAATGTCGCGAGAATTGTCGTCCCTACAGTAATCGATTTTGTACCCAGGTGGAAGTTCAGTCAGTCGAAGTGCAGTAGGTCGAAGTCATCGAAAAATCGGACAAACAAAATTTAAAAAAAAAAAATTACACAAAAAGTCGATGAATTTAGTCTTACCCAACCTTAAGCAGTGAAATCGGGGCGGACGGTAACCACGACTGAAATGTTCGACCAAGACGAAGCAATTGANAATTTGCAGCCAAAAAAAAAAAAAAATAAGAGAGGAAGAATAACATGCTCATACGGGAGCGACTAGGGCAGAAGAATTGTGAGGAACAACTGGGCATTCGATTTGATTATATACAGTTATATCCGTAATTTCTGTAAGACCCAAGGGTGCAATTGACATTTTTTAAGCACCTTTTTGGACAAAATTGGAATTGCATAGTTGGGATAAAAGTATCAGGCCAATTTGCTGTGACAAAACAGTCCGTCCGGCTCAATTAAATTGTCTGGGACCACCTGCCACACAAGCCCCAATCAGCCCAATCCTAATCCCTATTTTGCCTAGTAAACTTATAATAAGGTTGGTTAACCAACCTTATCCAATCCTATCATCTCTAGTAAATGAAACCTTGGTGTATTAGCTTATTTAAGACTTTTAAAAGTCTCGAGCTATTCATTTGAGATTTTCAAAAGTTTTATAAAATCTTGAGATATTGAACTTTAGTTGAGACTGATTTGTTAAGACTTTTTAAAATTTGTTGAAATTTTAAGAGGAAAGCCCATATACGAAATCAGTTTCAAATCCCACCTCTTTTAGACTTTTACACGATTCTTCCTAAATTTGAAAATATTAAAAAGTCTCAAATCTCAAAATGTTACTTGGAACTCCAACAAATACACCTAGTTTGTCTAATGAACATATTGAAATTCATTTTATGGGTATAAATTTGGTTTCCTTAAATTAGCGTTTTGAGGTCAAGATTCTTCACGGAAGGACATCGTCGGGGCTTCTTGACACGCGATCTTCATCACTTCTCCCCGGCTTTCGATTGTGGTCGTCATCTCCCTCGTCCTCTTGCGTCAGGTCGGCGCCAGTCTCCCTAGCTCTTTCGGCATCTGGGGGAGACTGGCGAGTGTTTGAGTTGTCTTCCTTCCTTCTTTCTTCCTAAATCCTCTCCTGTTGGTAGGTCTAGTCTCGAGTTTCGACTCATTTGTCAGATATTTTTAGTTGTTCCTAGCCAAACCTGAGTTCTTGGATTTGAGAGTGTTGTTTCTGCATATCATGTTTGTGTTTAGGCTTAAGGTCTTCTAGGTGTGTTGGTCTGGGCGGGAGGTGCTCGGTTCATTGTTGAGTGAAGTGGGGGAGGTCTTATTGTGTTATATTTATTTTATTTATTTATTTTTTGTTCTCAGTCTCCATCTATGGAACAATAGTCTTCCTTAGTGAAATATTTTATCTCCATTGTTTTTTATTATTTTGTAGTGTTGCCGAGGGGGGAGCTCTTATGATAAGTGGCTCCCCTGATTCGGTTTTCTCTTTCAAGTGACAGTTAATTAAATTAATCTTGTAACTATTTGGTTACGGATTTTACCTTATTTGAGGTTATATAATACTAGTATTACTATTTGCCATTTTAGGNTTTAAGTTATTTTTACAAATCAAACAGTTAATTATTTACCAAACGTGTTGAATACTCTGCTTAGTTGGTCAAATATGACAATTTAGTTAACTATTAGCTAGCATCTAATTGAATCAACTAAATGCCAAACATGAACATTGTATTTCAAATACCATTCTGTCGAAATAATACACTCTCAATATAAAATGGTTGGAATTTAAAATATGCAATGGTAGTTTAATAAGCATAAAAATATATTTATAAAACGCGTAAGAAAGATTAATAAAGTCACGTTTATTAGAAATCTGTTCTTTTTTTTTTCTTTTTTTTTTCTAAATATGATATTTGAAAAACTAACTAGTAGTATTATAAAATATATTTAGTTTTGAATAATATATGTTATAGAAATAATAAAGAATATTTATTTTTGTGCAAAACTCGTAGTGAAAATTGTTGGAGATAATATTTAACTTCATAAGTCAGCAATTGTGGTGTGCACAAATAGCTTGAAAATAGTAAAATTTGCTGCAGATGATCTTATCTCGCAAAACATGGCTAACTTTTCAGAACAATTAAAAGAATATAAATTTTAGTTGCTAATTATTGTGTGATAAATTTTCTTATAAAATATTTTTTTTGTCAACTGTTGTGCTGCATTTATTTTCATATATATAAAGAATGTCCCATTGTTGAAGATGGATATATGGTGAAGTTTCAATCTAAAATAGAGTTAAGGCTATGGAAATATTTCATTACAAGTAAAACGCTCGTGTACTACACGGATGTTTGACCGCGCGTCGCGACGCGGCAAATTTAAATTTATAATTTTCCTCAACTAACCTCTACTAACTAGTAGTAGTGGCGAGTAAGGGTCGATCCCACGAGGAGCAGGAATTAAATTGTGACAATCTCGTATTAATTGAATTAAACTAGAAAAGCAATAAAAGGTGGGGGGAATTGGTTTTATAAAAATAAAAATAAAAATAAGAAAATAAAATAAAAATCTAATAAAATGAGAGAAGTCCAATTTTCGGTTCAGTTATCACCCAATCTAAATCTACCATTAATCAATTTCGACGCTTTCTTTAAATTGCTAATGAATTACCAACCCTAGCCAACAATAAGCTCTGTTAACCGAATTTTCCCTTACAGAATATTTAATCGAAATAAGCTCTTCGACTAAATCTAACTAGCGGACAACCTAGAATAAGCTCTCTAGATTTAATACACTAGCAGCATTAATTATGAGGAAAATAGATCAGTCTAAGCAATGGACGCAAAAGCTCGGACCATTTAACTTATGTTCACGCTACCCTAGAGATGCACGACCCCTAGTTTACTACTAACGAAACGAGAACAATAACAATTACGGATTAAAGCCTCGAATCTAGCAGTTAAATTAAGAATATTCAATCTAGCTGGCCAAACTAAATCAAACACCATAATTCATAAACGTTAAACATAGATAACATGAATCAACTCATCAACAAAAATAAATACGGCGTCTCGATTAATCAACGATAAAAATAAATCCTTCAATCCATAGACAAATCAAAGTTAGGGTTCAAACATCCCCTCAAACTGGATAAAATAACTAGCCTAACATACTAATAAAATATAAAAACTAGATAAAAGAGAGAGATTAGTTATCTCCCTCGTGTGCGTGCGGCTTCCCTCCGCGTGTGTAGCTCTTTTCCAAATCCGTGCGTGTTCTCTTCGTCTTGCTGCGTTTTTCTTTTTCTGGCCCAAGTTAATTTCCCCTGGCTCTTTCTCAGCTTTTTTTGTTTTGCAAATAATTCACCAACCAGCCTCCAAAAATTGTGTGAGTCTCCCTCAAAACCAAAGTCTTCCACGTAGGTGTCCAACAACTTCAAAATTCCTCTTTTAATTTGAATTCCATGCGTGAGTAATTTGGAACATGATTCTGGCTGCTTTTATTTTAATTAAAATCTCTTAAACTTGGGCTGAAATCTTGGGTCCAAATCAAATGGGTTAAGAGTCAACGTTGGGCCTAGACTTGGATTGAAATTCAAGCTGATATCGGCGGAGGCGATAATTGGTCACGTGAACTTTCGTCTAATGCTTCGCAACCATAAAATACACCCAAAATCCTGAAAATAACACAAAAACCTCAAAGAAAATAAATCCATACAAATAATAAATAAGTCAAAAAAAATACAAACGTGCGAATAAATTAAGCGTATAAAAATACACTACTAAATATATAAAACGCGCACATTTTTCGACCGATCAATGTTACATGAAAAAATCAATTGTCCAACAAAAAGCGAAAAAATAATTTTTTTACTGTGAATTAAAAAATTATAAATAATTATTAATAAAATATTTTTTAATATTATTTCCAATTCTATAAAATATTTTTATGAAGTATTATTTATTTTATTTAATATATATTTATTTTTATCAAAATTAAATAGATTAATTAATTTTTTCGACAATTAATAATGATCAGGGGCGCTTGAAAGTTAAATATTTGTATCAAAATAAAGAAGCGAAGAATATATATTCTTATAGTAGAATGATAATAAATTAAATACACAACTAATAACTAAAAAATAACAAAAATAATTCTTATTTTATACTCAAATTATTAAAATGATAACTTTCTTAACACACACACACACATACACACACACATATATATGTATATGTATAATTTAATTTTGAATCAACTTTTTTTTCAAGTTTGATTATATTGTAATCATACTATATATTTATACAATTTTCCTCACTGATTTAATATTTCTTAAGATATCTTCAGTTTTATAATATCCTACAATTTAAAATATAATGTGTATGGGTGAATATTTTAAATTTTATGAAATAAAATAATTATTTTTATAATTTTAATTACAATGTTTATTTATTGTTTTCACAATCATAATGTTTTTGTGCAATCTTTATTTAAGTCGAGACATAAACTTTTAGAATATTTTTTTACACTAATTTGATGTTTATACTTAGTTTAATAAATAAA